GGGGTAGTGTGTAGGGGTAGGGGTAGTGTGTAGGGGTAGGGTGTAGGGGTAGTGTGTAGGGGTAGTGTGTAGGGGTAGTGTGTAGGGGTAGGGTGCAGGGGTAAGGTGTAGGGCGTGGTTTGGGATTGGGCCATCCACTGATAAACTGCGATGTTAACAACCTCATGATAGCCTCATATGTTTTGAACTTAGGATCAAACCTGTGTTTAGTCTAGAAAAAGGTAAATGTGTGCATTTTATTATAAAGTTGTGTATATTTACAGACTGTTGCAAAAACTAAGAAGCTTATAAACATCAGGTTTAAAACTAAAAGAGTTTGGAGTTTTATTTTAGTTATTAATGTTAATGTTTTGTCTAAGAGAAGCTGATTTGAAACCGTTGTTACATACAGTTACGGCATTTCCTGTTTCTGCCGGAGAGGCCGTCCCAAAGCCTGCTGCTGTGTTTACTCCCTCTGACAGGAGGAGCCTCGTGTGTCACTCCACGGAGTTCACTGTAGGGGTAGGGTGTAGGGCGCGGTTTGGGATTGGGCCCGAGTCATGATAAAGAGTGTAGAGACCCGGATGTAGGTCAGGTCGAGTGAAACAGCGCCCCCTGCTGGCCACACACTGTCACTGCAGTTGGAGATCAACACGTGGTTTGTTGATTTATTACAGTTTATTTAATATGTTTACACTAATTATACAGTTCATACATGGAATATAATGATTGCACACGGCATGGAAACATTAAATAAGATTGATGCAAAATAAATATATATTTTGTATTTGTTGACAGATGCAACTATATGCAAAATTAAAATTAAAATATCGTATTAAATGTACTTTTAAACTTATAAACTGTGCAAAACAACTCATGTAATTACTGTTGGAGTAACAGTATATTGTTGATAGAAGTTTAATATTTATAAATAATAAAATGTGTTTGTTATTTTATTTGTATTCATTATATATGAATGATTACACTGTAGTTTGCCATTTACTCATTGTCCTAAGTGTTTTAGTTTTTTTGTAGCTTTTAAGGTTATTTGTTAAATTTGTGGGAAAATGCCAAATATTTCCCAATTTGGGATCAATAAAGTACTTTTTATCTGATCTCTGCATGCAGTACCGCAGTGAGGCGCAGTCCCTCCCCCGGCCGGCAGGGGGCGGTGCGGCGCTGCTTAAAGAGCCGGAAACCCCGCTCTCTCTCCCCGGTTCTTCCTCTTCCCTCCGCGGCCTCAGAGGTAAGACAACATCACGATCATCTCGAACCGAATCTGCTCTAAATCTCTATCAAAGCGCTCCATCCTGCTCATTAAACATGACCCGTATCTGTAACTAAGTCAAAACTCGTCGCATGCAGTTCGATTTCTGTGTTTTGAAGCTGGATTTTTAGTTAAATGAGGTTTTTAAGGAGACGCCGGTTTGATGGCTAACACGTTAGCTGTCCGCCATGTTGGATCAAACTGCTGTGTTTTAAACCTCTTATTGTAACTCCGAAAGACCCTCGTGTTTCTCTCTTTGCTGTAGATCAGGGTTCACTCTCAGGGTGTGTGTGGGTTACATTACAGCCGTATGTGAGCTAATGCTAGCTGGAGTCGCGTTGAGTCGCTTCTTTCACATTAAATAACATTTAGTTCTGATTTCTCCAGATGTGTGAAAATGTTCCGCTACTCTCTGAATCTAAATCATCCCAAATATAAACATCTCAAATACAAATATCATTCAAAGAAGTTAAAATAAACATGTTGAAATGTGTCTTTGTGAGGCTGCAGGTAGGAGACGAGAGTTAAAGCAACATTAAGCTGATTTACAATAACTGTTAAACTAACTTTAAACAGAAGTAAGTGATGGCTCTGAGCTGATGCTGCGTTCAGGTGATCTGATACCTGCAGTTTATTAGAGCTGTGTGAGGGGAGCTGCAGTGATGACCAATTAGGACACCTTTGATTCTCCATGAAGACGACTTTATAAATCTGAGCAGCTCCTCCTCTCTATTTATATTTATATATATATATATATATATATATATATATATATATATATATATATATTGAGACGCAGCATTTCATCCCGAGGAGGCGTTCAAAGACAGTCTGACAACCTGTCTTCACAGTGCCGTTAGGTCTCTGGGTTTCGAGGAGGGGTTTTAAGTTAAAGTAGTTTTTAGGAGACGTTAGCTGTCTGCCGTGTTGGCTCAAACTGCTGTGTTTTAAACCTCTTGTAACTCAAAGACCCTCATGTTTCTGTCTCCCCCGGGCGTTAGGGGGTGACATCGCAGCCGAATCAGCGCTAATGCAGGAGTCGCTTCTTTTAATAACATTTTGTTCTGTTTCTCCAGATATCTGAAAAATGGTCCGCTACTCTCTAGACCCCTGAGAACCCCACCAAATGTGAGTAGACGTTATTAGGAGGTGTGTCTGCGGGACCCCTCATGGGCAGACTGTGATCTGAGCTTCTGTTTAACGCGTTCAAAGAGATGCTTTTGTTAACCTGACTCATTCTGTTGCAGCATGCAAGTCCAGGGGCTCCAATCTGCGGGTTCACTTCAAGGTAAGACCTGGAACATGACTGAATACCCATCTGTATGTTAGCTCCTGTTCAAACGCACCCCAAGTCCTCACTTTAGGGTCTGTGCTCATGGTGTTCATCATTAATACCAGTCAGGTGTGGCACGTCCTCGTAGGGAGAGACTTCAGGGATTAGTAATAACTCTTGTAGTGCAGATATTTCAGCCCTTGTGGTTTGATGTGATCAGAAAGCAGCGTTTCTCAAACATTAGAAACCTCAGAGATTCTGGAAACCTGTCGTGCTTTAAAAGAGTTTACATCTTAAATCAAGACGTCAAGGAGAACTTTAAACATTAATACAACAACTCTGAGTTCCTGATCAGGAGGGGAGTTCCTGATCAGGAGGGGGTCTCTGTGAGAGGGGAGTTCCTGATCAGGAGGGGTCTCTGTGAGAGGGGAGTTCCTGATCAGGAGGGGAGTTCCTGATCAGGAGGGGGTCTCTCTCTGAGCTCCTCAAGTTACTAACTCAGTTACAGCTAAATGAAACGTATTCAAGTTGATGTTTCCTCTGGATGTAGTTCTGTGAGGGCGTGCTGCGTTCAGGTGCTCTGATACCTGTAGTTTATTCTAGTTGTGTGAGGGGAGCTGCAGTGATGACCAATTAGGACACCTTTGATTCTCCATGAAGACGACTTAATAAATCTGAGCAGCTCCTCCTCCTCTGATGAAATGAACTGACCTCAGTTTCTTTGCCATCGCTTCAGAGCATGCTTCAGAGCATGCTTCAGAGCATGCGTTCTGCCCTCAGGTCGATGTGTGAGTGTTGGAGCTGCGTAAAGTTAATCTCAGCAGATATGGTTCACGGTTCATTCTGATATTCCTCTAGCTGGATAGAACTCGCTCACAGCGTCCAGACAGAGACGCAGAACTCGCTCTCTAACAGTGAGGCAGTGGAGACTACATAGTGTTGTTTCTGCTCCTCCTGTGCTGTTGTTGTTGTTGTCCTCACAGAACCCTGAGATGCTCTAAATTAAATAGTGAACGTAGATATTATAGCACTGTGTTATATTAAAACTGTTGGTGCATTCTTAGGGAGGGAATCAGCAGCTAGTGATGATGTTGTCCTCCTGTCTGTGTTGGTGTTGTCCTCCTGTCTGTGTTGGTGTCCTCCTGTCTGTGGTGTTGTCCTCCTGTCTGTGTTGTTGTCCTCCTGTCTGTGTTGTTGTCCTCCTGTCTGTGTTGTTGTCCTTCTGTCTGTGTTGTTGTCCTTCTGTCTGTGTTGGTGTTGTCCTCCTGTCTGTGTTGTTGTTGTCCTTCTGTCTGTGTTGTTGTTGTCCTTCTGTCTGTGTTGTTTGTGTCCTCCTGTCTGTTGTTGTCCTCCTGTCTGTGGTGTTGTCCTCCTGGCTGTGTTGTTGTCCTCCTGGCTGTGTTGTTGTTTGTGTCCTCCTGTCTGTGGTGTTGTCCTCCTGGCTGTGTTGTTTGTGTCCTCCTGTCTGTGTTGTTGTCCTCCTGTCTGTGGTGTTGTCCTCCTGTCTGTGTTGTTGTCCTCCTGTCTGTGGTGTTGTCCTCCTGTCTGTGTTGTTGTCCTCCTGTCTGTGGTGTTGTCCTCCTGTCTGTGTTGTTGTCCTCCTGTCTGTGTTGTTGTCCTCCTGTCTGTGTTGTTTGTGTCCTCCTGTCTGTGTTGTTGTCCTCCTGTCTGTGGTGTTGTCCTCCTGTCTGTGTTGTTGTCCTCCTGTCTGTGGTGTTGTCCTCCTGTCTGTGTTGTTGTTGATTGTGTCCTCCTGTCTGTGGTGTTGTCCTCCTGGCTGTGTTGTTGATTGTGTCCTCCTGTCTGTGGTGTTGTCCTCCTGGCTGTGTTGTTGATTGTGTCCTCCTGTCTGTGGTGTTGTCCTCCTGTCTGTGTTGTTGTCCTCCTGTCTGTGGTGTTGTCCTCCTGGCTGTGTTGTTGATTGTGTCCTCCTGTCTGTGGTGTTGTCCTCCTGTCTGTGTTGTTGTCCTCCTGTCTGTGGTGTTGTCCTCCTGGCTGTGTTGTTGTTGATTGTGTCCTCCTGTCTGTGGTGTTGTCCTCCTGGCTGTGTTGTTGATTGTGTCCTCCTGTCTGTGTTGTTGTTGTCCTCCTGTCTGTGGTGTTGTCCTCCTGGCTGTGTTGTTTGTGTCCTCCTGTCTGTGGTGTTGTCCTCCTGTCTGTGGTGTTGTCCTCCTGGCTGTGTTGTTGTTGATTGTGTCCTCTTGCTCTCCTGCAGAACACCCGTGAGACAGCCCAGGCGATCAAAGGGATGCACATCCGTAAAGCCAACAAGTACCTGCGTGACGTTGTGGTGAAGCACCAGTGTGTTCCCTTCAGGCGCTACAACGGGGGCGTGGGCCGCTGCGCTCAGGTAACTCATCCATCATCTAACTGACGCTGCGGGACGAGCTTCTGGCTGCAGGGCGGAGACGAGAGACATTTAGCTGATTTACAATAAGTGCTAACAGAAGTGATGGCTCTGAGCTGATGCTGCGTTCAGGTGCTCTGATACCTGCAGTTCATTAGAGCTGTGTGAGGGGAGCTGCAGTGATGACCAATTAGGACACCTTTGATTCTCCATGAAGACGACTTTATAAATCTGAGCAGCTCCTCCTCTCTCTGAAACGCCTGTTTACATCACAGCGACTAAGCTCCTCCCCCTCTTTCTGAAACGCCTGTTTACACCACAGTGACTAAGCTCCTCCTCTCTGAAACGCCTGTTTACACCACAGCGACTAAGCTCCTTCCCCTCTCTCTGAAACGCCTGTTTACACCACAGTGACTAAGCTCCTCCTCTCTGAAACGCCTGTTTACACCACAGTGACTAAACTCCTCCTCTCTGAAACGCCTGTTTACACCACAGTGACTAAGCTCCTCCTCTCTGAAACGCCTGTTTACACCACAGCGACTAAACTCCTCCCCCTCTCTCTGAAACGCCTGTTTACACCACAGCGACTAAGCTCCTCCCCCTCTCTCTGAAACGCCTGTTTACACCACAGTGACTAAGCTCCTCCCCTCTCTCTGAAACGCCTGTTTACACCACAGTGACTAAGCTCCTCCCCCTCTTTCTGAAACGCCTCTTTACACCACAGTGACTAAGCTCCTCCTCCTCTCTGAAACGCCTGTTTACACCACAGCGACTAAGCTCCTCCTCCTCTCTGAAACGCCTGTTTACACCACAGCGACTAAGCTCCTTCCCCTCTCTCTGAAACGCCTGTTTACACCACAGTGACTAAGCTCCTCCTCTCTGAAACGCCTGTTTACACCACAGTGACTAAGCTCCTCCTCTCTGAAACGCCTGTTTACACCACAGTGACTAAGCTCCTCCCCCTCTCTCTGAAACGCCTGTTTACACCACAGTGACTAAGCTCCTCCCCTCTCTCTGAAACGCCTGTTTACACCACAGCGACTAAGCTCCTCCTCCTCTCTGAAACGCCTCTTTACACCACAGTGACTAAGCTCCTCCTCCTCTCTGAAACGCCTGTTTACACCACAGCGACTAAGCTCCTCCTCCTCTCTGAAACGCCTGTTTACACCACAGCGACTAAGCTCCTCCTCCTCTCTGAAACGCCTGTTTACACCACAGCGACTAAGCTCCTTCCCCTCTCTCTGAAACGCCTGTTTACACCACAGCGACTAAGCTCCTCCCCTCTCTCTGAAACGCCTGTTTACACCACAGCGACTAAGCTCCTCCTCCTCTCTGAAACGCCTCTTTACACCACAGCGACTAAGCTCCTCCCCCTCTCTCTGAAACGCCTGTTTACACCACAGCGACTAAGCTCCTCCCCCTCTTTCTGAAACGCCTGTTTACACCACAGCGACTAAGCTCCTCCCCCTCTTTCTGAAACGCCTGTTTACACCACAGCGACTAAGCTCCTCCCCCTGCTCTCTCTCAGCGACTAAGCTCCTCCCCCGGCTCTCTTATTTATATATATATATATATATTGAGACACTGTATTTCATCCTGAGGAGGCGTTCAAAGACAGTCTGACATGTTTAGCTTTTAGCAGCATTTCAAATGACGGCATGTTAATTCATGTGATATCACTTTATTAGCAGCAGATCATCAGGACAGTTAGGTCTCTGGGTTTAGAGAGTTCCTATCATTAAAGTGTCTCTATCAGATGTGTCTCAGTGTCTCCATCAGATGTGTCTCAGTGTCTCCATCAGATGTGTCTCAGTGTCTCCATCAGATGTGTCTCAGTGTCTCCATCAGATGTGTCTCAGTGTCTCCATCAGATGTGTCTCAGTGTCTCCATCAGATTGATTGACAGACTGTTTGTGTTTCAGGCCAAGCAGTTCGGCTGGACCCAGGGCCGCTGGCCCAAGAAGAGCGCTGAGTTCCTGCTGCACATGCTGAAGAACGCCGAGAGCAACGCGGAGCTCAAGGTGCGCTCACTTTGATGTCTGTATTGAACTGACTGCAGCTTCCTGGCAGACTAAGAAGTACTCGATGTGTGGAACCTTAGCGTTGCAGCAGCATGGAAACACAAGCCATGGCCGAGTGTTAAGCTATTTATAACTTCACTCTGAGCTGATGCTGCGTTCAGGTGCTCTGATACCTGCAGTTTATTAGAGTGCCAGTGTGTGTGAGGGGAGCTGCAATGATGACCAATTAGGACACCTTTGATTATCCATGAAGACGAATCAGAAACCTGAGCAGCGCCTCCTCTCTGATGATGATATATTACGTTGTTCCCCATGACCTGTACGCACAGAACGAGATGAAGGAAACTTTCCTGTTTTCTGTCCAAATATCTTCTGTGATCGGGTTCTGTTGAGTTTCATCATTCCAGGGTCTGATTAAGCCCTAACGTGGTCCCTGTCTCAGGGTCTGTGTTGGTTACTAACTCCCCCTCTGGACCCTCAGGGTCTGTGTTAGTTACTAACTCCCCCTCTGGTCCCTCAGGGTCTATGTTAGTTACTAACTCCCCCTCTGGTCCCTCAGGGTCTGTGTTAGTTACTAACTCCCCCTCTGGTCCCTCAGGGTCTGTGTTAGTTACTAACTCCCCCTCTGGTCCCTCAGGGTCTGTGTTAGTTACTAACTCCCCCTCTGGTCCCTCAGGGTCTGTGTTAGTTACTAACTCCCCCTCTGGACCCTCAGGGTCTGTGTTAGTTACTAACTCCCCCTCTGGTCCCTCAGGGTCTGTGTTAGTTACTAACTCCCCCTCTGGTCCCTCAGGGTCTGTGTTAGTTACTAACTCCCCCTCTGGTCCCTCAGGGTCTGTGTTAGTTACTAACTCCCCCTCTGGTCCCTCAGGGTCTGTGTTAGTTACTAACTCCCCCTCTGGACCCTCAGGGTCTGTGTTAGTTACTAACTCCCCCTCTGGTCCCTCAGGGTCTATGTTAGTTACTAACTCCCCCTCTGGACCCTCAGGGTCTGTGTTAGTTACTAACTCCCCCTCTGGTCCCTCAGGGTCTGTGTTGGTTACTAACTCCCCCTCTGGACCCTCAGGGTCTATGTTAGTTACTAACTCCCCCTCTGGACCCTCAGGGTCTGTGTTAGTTACTAACTCCCCCTCTGGACCCTCAGGGTCTATGTTAGTTACTAACTCCCCCTCTGGACCCTCAGGGTCTGTGTTAGTTACTAACTCCCCCTCTGGTCCCTCAGGGTCTATGTTAGTTACTAACTCCCCCTCTGGTCCCTCAGGGTCTGTGTTAGTTACTAACTCCCCCTCTGGTCCCTCAGGGTCTATGTTAGTTACTAACTCCCCCTCTGGTCCCTCAGGGTCTGTGTTAGTTACTAACTCCCCCTCTGGACCCTCAGGGTCTATGTTAGTTACTAACTCCCCCTCTGGTCCCTCAGGGTCTGTGTTAGTTACTAACTCCCCCTCTGGTCCCTCAGGGTCTGTGTTAGTTACTAACTCCCCCTCTGGTCCCTCAGGGTCTATGTTAGTTACTAACTCCCCCTCTGGTCCCTCAGGGTCTGTGTTAGTTACTAACTCCCCCTCTGGTCCCTCAGGGTCTGTGTTAGTTACTAACTCCCCCTCTGGACCCTCAGGGTCTATGTTAGTTACTAACTCCCCCTCTGGTCCCTCAGGGTCTGTGTTAGTTACTAACTCCCCCTCTGGTCCCTCAGGGTCTGTGTTAGTTACTAACTCCCCCTCTGGTCCCTCAGGGTCTGTGTTAGTTACTAACTCCCCCTCTGGACCCTCAGGGTCTGTGTTGGTTACTAACTCCCCCTCTGGTCCCTCAGGGTCTGTGTTAGTTACTAACTCCCCCTCTGGTCCCTCAGGGTCTGTGTTAGTTACTAACTCCCCCCTCTGGTCCCTCAGGGTCTGTGTTAGTTACTAACTCCCCCTCTGGTCCCTCAGGGTCTGTGTTGGTTACTAACTCCCCCTCTGGACCCTCAGGGTCTGTGTTAATTACTAACTCCCCCTCTGGACCCTCAGGGTCTGTGTTAGTTACTAACTCCCCCTCTGGTCCCTCAGGGTCTATGTTAGTTACTAACTCCCCCTCTGGTCCCTCAGGGTCTGTGTTGGTTACTAACTCCCCCTCTGGTCCCTCAGGGTCTGTGTTAATTACTAACTCCCCCTCTGGTCCCTCAGGGTCTGTGTTAAGTTACTAACTCCCCCTCTGGTCCCTCAGGGTCTGTGTTAAGTTACTAACTCCCCCTCTGGTCCCTCAGGGTCTGTGTTAAGTTACTAACTCCCCCTCTGGTCCCTCAGGGTCTGTGTTAATTACTAACTCCCTCAGGGTCTGTTAGTTACTAACTCCCCCTCTGGACCCTCAGGGTCTGTGTTAGTTACTAACTCCCCCTCTGGACCCTCAGGGTCTATGTTAGTTACTAACTCCCCCTCTGGTCCCTCAGGGTCTGTGTTAGTTACTAACTCCCCCTCTGGTCCCTCAGGGTCTGTGTTAGTTACTAACTCCCCCTCTGGTCCCTCAGGGTCTGTGTTAGTTACTAACTCCCCCTCTGGACCCTCAGGGTCTATGTTAGTTACTAACTCCCCCTCTGGTCCCTCAGGGTCTGTGTTAGTTACTAACTCCCCCTCTGGTCCCTCAGGGTCTGTGTTAGTTACTAACTCCCCCTCTGGACCCTCAGGGTCTATGTTAGTTACTAACTCCCCCTCTGGTCCCTCAGGGTCTGTGTTAGTTACTAACTCCCCCTCTGGTCCCTCAGGGTCTGTGTTAGTTACTAACTCCCCCTCTGGTCCCTCAGGGTCTGTGTTAGTTACTAACTCCCCCTCTGGTCCCTCAGGGTCTGTGTTAGTTACTAACTCCCCCTCTGGACCCTCAGGGTCTATGTTAGTTACTAACTCCCCCTCTGGACCCTCAGGGTCTATGTTAGTTACTAACTCCCCCTCTGGACCCTCAGGGTCTGTGTTAGTTACTAACTCCCCCTCTGGTCCCTCAGGGTCTGTGTTAGTTACTAACTCCCCCTCTGGACCCTCAGGGTCTGTGTTAGTTACTAACTCCCCTCTTGTCCCTCAGGGTCTGTGTTAGTTACTAACTCCCCTCTGGACCCTCAGGGTCTGTGTTAGTTACTAACTCCCCTCTTGTCCCTCAAGGTCTGTGTTAGTTACTAACTCCCCCTCTGGTCCCTCAGGGTCTGTGTTAGTTACTAACTCCCCTCTTGTCCCTCAGGGTCTGTGTTAGTTACTAACTCCCCTCTTGTCCCTCAGGGTCTGTGTTAGTTACTAACTCCCCCTCTGGACCCTCAGGGTCTATGTTAGTTACTAACTCCCCCTCTGGTCCCTCAGGGTCTGTGTTAGTTACTAACTCCCCCTCTGGTCCCTCAGGGTCTGTGTTAGTTACTAACTCCCCCTCTGGACCCTCAGGGTCTGTGTTAGTTACTAACTCCCCCTCTGGACCCTCAGGGTCTGTGTTAGTTACTAACTCCCCCTCTGGTCCCTCAGGGTCTGTGTTAGTTACTAACTCCCCCTCTGGTCCCTCAGGGTCTGTGTTAGTTACTAACTCCCCTCTTGTCCCTCAAGGTCTGTGTTAGTTACTAACTCCCCCTCTGGTCCCTCAAGGTCTGTGTTAGTTACTAACTACCCCTCTGGTCCCTCAGGGTCTGTGTTAGTTACTAACTCCCCCTCTGGTCCCTCAGGGTCTGTGTTAGTTACTAACTCCCCTCTTGTCCCTCAAGGTCTGTGTTAGTTACTAACTCCCCTCTTGTCCCTCAGGGTCTGTGTTAGTTACTAACTCCCCTCTTGTCCCTCAGGGTCTGTGTTAGTTACTAACTCCCCCTCTGGTCCCTCAGGGTCTGTGTTAGTTACTAACTCCCCTCTTGTCCCTCAGGGTCTGTGTTAGTTACTAACTCCCCTCTTGTCCCTCAGGGTCTGTGTTAGTTACTAACTCCCCTCTTGTCCCTCAGGGTCTGTGTTAGTTACTAACTCCCCTCTTGTCCCTCAGGGTCTGTGTTAGTTACTAACTCCCCCTCTGGTCCCTCAGGGTCTGTGTTAGTTACTAACTCCCCTCTTGTCCCTCAAGGTCTGTGTTAGTTACTAACTCCCCTCTTGTCCCTCAGGGTCTGTTAGTTACTAACTCCCCCTCTGGACCCTCAGGGTCTGTGTTAGTTACTAACTCCCCCTCTGGTCCCTCAGGGTCTGTGTTAGTTACTAACTCCCCCTCTGGTCCCTCAGGGTCTGTGTTAGTTACTAACTCCCCCTCTGGTCCCTCAGGGTCTGTGTTAGTTACTAACTCCCCCTCTGGTCCCTCAGGGTCTGTGTTAGTTACTAACTCCCCTCTTGTCCCTCAGGGTCTGTGTTAGTTACTAACTCCCCCTCTGGTCCCTCAGGGTCTGTGTTGGTTACTAACTCCCCTCTTGTCCCTCAGGGTCTGTGTTAGTTACTAACTACCCCTCTGGTCCCTCAGGGTCTGTGTTAGTTACTAACTCCCCCTCTGGTCCCTCAGGGTCTGTGTTAGTTACTAACTCCCCCTCTGGTCCCTCAGGGTCTGTGTTAGTTACTAACTCCCCCTCTGGTCCCTCAGGGTCTGTGTTAGTTACTAACTCCCCTCTTGTCCCTCAGGGTCTGTGTTAGTTACTAACTACCCCTCTGGTCCCTCAGGGTCTGTGTTAGTTACTAACTCCCCCTCTGGACCCTCAGGGTCTGTGTTAGTTACTAACTCCCCTCTTGTCCCTCAGGGTCTGTGTTAGTTACTAACTCCCCCTCTGGTCCCTCAGGGTCTGTGTTAGTTACTAACTCCCCTCTTGTCCCTCAGGGTCTGTGTTAGTTACTAACTCCCCCTCTGGTCCCTCAGGGTCTGTGTTAGTTACTAACTCCCCCTCTGGTCCCTCAGGGTCTGTGTTAGTTACTAACTCCCCTCTTGTCCCTCAGGGTCTGGACGTGGACTCCCTGGTGATCGAGCACATCCAGGTGAACAAAGCCCCTAAGATGCGCAGGAGGACGTACCGTGCTCACGGCAGAATCAACCCGTACATGAGCTCTCCGTGCCACATCGAGATGATCCTGACGGAGAAGGAGACCATCGTCCCCAAGCCCGACGAGGAGGTGGCGCAGAAGAAGAAGGTATTCAGCGCACATATCTTTATATACATATAGTGTTTGATGAGCCGTGAAACCTAACGGCTGCGTTCTGTGTTCCAGGTCTCGCAGAAGAAGCTGAAGAAGCAGAAGCTCATGGCCCGAGAGTAAAATAATAAACTCACTTTATCACCACGTCCTGAGTCTCTGTCTGTTTCTCCACCGTGACCTTTGACATTAGGTAGACCAGAGGGGTCAAACGACATGTACTCTTCCAGCCGGTTCAAACGAGACCGTGCTCAAAGACCTCGGACCTTCCTATGCGCCGGGAGATTCGTCTGTATGGTTGGGGTAAAGGGTTTGGGGCAGTACTTATGAGCAGTGATGCAAATTAGTCGACTTTTTAACGCTGATTTGGGAGACTTGTGTACTTCGTGGAGAACCGAAGAGTTTTCCTTTTTGGGGGGGGGGGGTCCGTCCGACTGACGGACAACTTCTCACTTCAAAAAAGAAGAAGAAATCTACACCGCAAAATAATTAAACAAGCGAGTACCTGTTTTTCCTGGCCAAGGACAGGTTCCTTGAACACAACACGAGCGTAACGTGTCTTCACGTGGTAGGTCTCGTCTGAAAGGAGTGCTGACGGAGAGCACCGGAACGCCGCTCCAGCCCTATTATTGCAGTACCCATAAGGAGCCGCTGTGTCTTTAGTTGTAAGCACAGTGGCGATCTGTTAGCATCTGGTTAGCTAGCTATGCTAACGAATTTAAAGAGCTTTTCTACAACCAGGTGGAAGAGAGCTCTCTCCTGAGAGGCTCACATAACCTCAGCTCAGTGAGGTTAAGGCACACCTTGATATGATCATTATAGTTATTAATGAGACTAGATGAAAAACAGGTATAAAATACTATCTGACAGAAACAAAAAAGTTGTTAAAAATAACAAGAATAGAGTTTGAAAGGAGAGTGATTTGTAAAATATCCAAAAATAAAAATCTGCTTCCCGTTCTGTTTCAAATGGGTGTTGAGAGATGTTTCCATAGATCTCCTCATGTTGCTCTCAAAGTGCACCAGATTGATGCTTTTAACTTCAACATTTAAAAACATCTTCCTGGGGGAGCATGCCCCCGGACCCCCCTAGAGGAGGTCAGGTCCCCCCCCACTTAAATCATGTCCACATGGATAGGATACTAAATAAATTTGCACACATCTTGTGTCCATATCTTTCTGTTTTGGTGGTGCATGCCACACCGTGCACGTGGTGCATGCCACACCGTCCACGCATGCGCGAGTCATGGTGAGATATCGGGAGGTTGCTTGTTCTTTGTGTCACTACCCGATCCGTCCCCTGCCCTATCTGCAGTGCCCATGTGCGAGATGGTCCGCCATATTGGACAACTCCGTACGGCAGCCCAAGATGGACACTTGACACAGTGGCTTTTGGCAAAGCTGAAAAATAAAACGAGAGATGAGTTATTGTTACAACGTGACCACTATTATTTAACAATTCTTTGTATTGGGTTCTTTTATTTGGGGTTCAGTACACTGTCAGAATAAGTGAGGAATGAGTTTATCTTCTGTTAGACAGCTATCGTACTGAATACATATTTACTGTGAATGTATGGCATATGGCTGTCTAACAGAAGATACATTCATTCCTCACTTATTCTGACAGTGTACTGAACCCCAAATAAAAGAACCCAATACAAAGAGTTGTTAAATAATAGTGAAGTCACGTTGTAACAATAACTCATCTCTCGTTTTATTTTTCAGCTTTGCCAAAAGCCACTGTGTCAAGTGTCCATCTTGGGCTGCCGTACGGAGTTGTCCAATATGGCGGACCATCTCGCACATGGGCAGTACGGATCGGGTCGTGACACTTTGCACAACAGGAAAGAAAGGCCAAATGAATGGGCTGTGATTTTAGTTTTTTTAAGCAGAGGTTGAGTTCAGTCATTTGGTCGGCCCTCGCAGGATGTTGTAAACATTGAAAGGAAAGGGTTCCCCCCCCCCCCCCCCCCCCGCTGTAAATAACAATAAAACCCCTTGATTTCTAACTTAACATCTCTCTCCTGATCGGAGTATATGATAAAGAACAGCTGAAGCATTTATCACACTTTCTTTCTGCTTCGAATAGTTCTCTCGTCACCATACCTCTGTTTGCATCCCTGAGAGACCTCATTTTAAATGCAGGGCTTTTTTATGTGTCAGAGTATTGCACACACACACACACACACACACGTGGATATTCTTTGAGTTTTATGGTCAGAAAGCGCTGTAGATGCAGAAAATAGCACTTTCGGAATATCACATTTGAATAGCTTTTGATGGGGGGCGCCAGACCCTCCCCAAACTGAGCTCAGTGCGTCTCCTACAGGATGCAGCGTCGCACATAGATCCACGTTGGAGTGGCTTTAGGGACAAACATCGAGCCCAAGCTAACCAGCAAAGTCTCGACTGCCTAGCACGCGGGGAAATGGGCGTGTTGAGATAAAAACCTTAACGGAAGGTTTTGTCCTGTTTTAAGACGTGACCTTTGACATTAGGTAAAACAGAGGGGTCAAACGACATGTCCTCTCTGAGTCGGTTCAAACGAGACCACGCTCAAAGACCTCGGCCCTTCCTTTGCGCCGGGAGATTCCTCTGGGGTCAGTGGGTATGAGTACATGTACTTCAGTGTGTGAAAGTACCTCATGTACTGTTCAAAGTGCTTTCTGCCGCTTTATAATATATCATTATATTTCTAATAAAAACGTAAAAGTACATTTCCTCAAGTCCTGTTTCTCAGTTCTCTTTGAGGTACTTGTACTTCTCGTGGCCTTCATCGCAGTAATGAGGTAAATATCTGAATATAAATATCAAAATGCAGATAAAGTTAAAGTGCAGGAATATATCGGTTTAAGTCAAAATAGACCGGCAGGGGGCGCCCAGCAGGGGGCGCTGCTGCTCTGCTTCAGAGAGAGAGAGTCCTTTATCTGTTGATCACCTGCAGACTCGCTGATCACTGATCACCTCCTCTGAGCTTCACCTTTAAAGCCACTTTATTCCTCCTCACTGCTTCCAGGGTACTCTCATTGTGTGTGTGTGTGTGTGTGTGTGTGTGTGTGTGTGTGTGTGTGTGTGTGTGTGTGTGTGTGTGTGTGTGTGTGTGTGTGTGTGTGTGTGTGTGTGTGTGTGTGTGTGTGTGTGAGCCCAGATGCTCGTGGGAAACGCAGTTCACAAGATATTATTTTTCTGGCACGATCTAATAAACAAAGCTTCATAGCGACACTCGGAGGCTTTGGGTGTTTTGATCTCATTACTCTGTGATTGAAATACTAAAATGGTGCGTTCAAGGTCTTCAGAGTATCTTCACATGCCTTTAATGGGCCTTTGTATTATCTCTTATATATATATTGTATATATTTATATATATTTGTGTACGTGGAGACTTATGAGTTCAGATTTCTTTCTGAGAGTTTTAATAATGTATTCTCTGTTTGTCTTCAGTGCTCTCTCCTCTCTGAGGGTGCACACACACACGCACACACACACGCACACACACACACACACACACATGCACACACACACACACACACACACAATCTGAGGTCATAAATTAGACCTTTAACTAGAAAACACTGTTGTTTATTTAAAATGAGCTCCAGATGAAACTAGAGTTTTAATTCCTGCCAGTGGGAATGTTTTATGCTGAAAAGTAATGTGTAAGAAGAAAGTGAAAGGCTTTTGAACTAACTTGATGGCGAATGATCTGTCGCCATGCCAACAGCATTTGATGACACCCCATAATACGCTTAGATGCGTTGATGGCTGCATCGTTACCAGACCTGTGAAGTTCTGGACTGTTTGGAGTATTTTCACTGAAGTTATGAGAAAACCGTGTTTCATGGCGAGCATTGTGTTGCCATGGCAACGGCATTTGAAGAACTCTCCAAACTGTCCCGTAGATGTCTTCACGGCTGGACTGTTGGCACACTGCTACCTGAAGTCTGAGCATGTCAGTTGGAGCGATTACATCATCGTGTTGCATGACACAGGTGTTCATCGTTGAGCTAACGAGCTCTGTAGAGATCACAGGCTTCATTGTTCTGAACGAGAGATGAACCTCTTACATGTGAACGTTTTGTGGAAGAACCGTAACAGATATCTGTGAAAATTCAAAGCGTGAAGCATCTCAAGGAAGTTGAGTATCTGAAGTGCAAGCACACTCGGAATTAAGTATTATTTTATTTTTTTCAAATGTTTTCAGATTTCACATCACATGAACACCATATCCCAGCGTGCATTGCGGCTAAACCATCCAATCACAGAGCTTGAGGACTAATCACGGGGTTTGAGCGAAGCGGAGAGAATACTTACTTCCGGGTGTAAAATTCTCTAAAGTAAATGAGCCGCTCCGACCCTCGGTCCTGACGGACTCCAAAAGTCAGACATTATACAATCAAACAAATAAATAAACACAAGGATAAGTGTGTGTTATTGTTGAGTAAATAACAGTGTGGTTTAGAAAATAATACAAAATTAGAAGGAAAATGAAACAATACAGATTTCAGTTTTCTGAGCCCCTACTCTCCCCATAACTGACGGCAACAAAAGTCTTACATTATTCAATTAAAACAAAGAAGTAAACACAATAAGTGTGGCTTGATATTGAGTCAGAAAAAGGTTGATAAACGCTGTGAGAATGGATCTAAGGACAGCATTTCACCGCGATCCCAACTCCTCTATTACCAGCGTTCAGGGAGCTCTATGCAAGTCAATGGGACGCCCTGAGAGTTGAAAGTCGACGCTAAAGGGCCCCCCTGCGTTTGATGGTGACGACAGGGACCCTGACATGACGTCAACATAGGACGAGTTGGGAGTGAGAATGTTTAGTGAGTTTAAATGAGATATATTTAATATAATAACACTTTAGAGATAACAACAATAATTAAAACAAAGATATTTATTTAATTATAATAATAAAATATATTCCGCATAATTTGTGAAAGTTAAAAAAATATAAAACACTGAGTATTAAAGTACAACAACTAAAACTAACTAATGACATAAATACATTCAAATAATCACATTGAATTAATTATTATCAAAACATATCAAACTATTAGCCTTAGCTTGTTCCTGCTTTCAACGTGAAGAGTGTGTGTGTGTGTGTCTGTGTGTGCGTCTGTGTGTGTGTGTGTCTGTGTGTCTGTGTGTCTGTGTGTCTGTGTGTGTGTGTGTGTGTGTGTGTGTGTGTCTGTGTGTCTGTGTGTGTGTGTGTGTCTGTGTGTGTGTGTGTCTGTGTGTCTGTGTGTGCGTGTGTGCGTCTGTGTGTGTGTGTCTGTGTGTGTGTGTGTGTGTGTGTGTGTGTCTGTGTGTGTGTGTGTCTGTGTGTCTGTGTGTGCGTGTGTGCGTCTGTGTGTGTGTGTCTGTGCGTCTGTGTGTGTGTGTGTCTGTGTGTGTCTGTGTGTCTGTGTGTCTGTGTGTGTGTGTGTGTGTCTGTGTGTGTGTGTGTCTGTGTGTGTCTGTGTGTCTGTGTGTCTGTGTGTTGTCTGTGTGTGTGTGTGTCTGTGTGTGTGTGTGTGCGTCTGTGTGTGTGTGTCTGTGTGTCTGTGTGTGTGTGTGTGTGTGTCTGTGTGTGTGTGTCTGTGTGTGTGCATGGGTGTGTCTGTGTGTCTGTGTGTGTGTGCGTGTGCGTGTGTGTGTGAGGAGGTGTGTGTGTGTGTAGGTATGTGTGTTTAGGTATTAATGATTAGCTCATCCAGGATTAGCACTGAGCCACTCAGCCAATCAGGAGGCTCCCCTAAATCCAGCGGCTAACGTCACCTTCAGAGGAGCCAATCAGCGCAGCCCCCTGTCTCCCCCCGTGGTGTCCTGAGTAAAGTTTGCTGTGCAGCTCATAGACAGATGATCATGTTCCATTACCACACACACACACACACACACACACACACACACACACACACACACACACACACACACACACACACACACACACACACACACACACACACACACACACACACACACACACACACACACACACACACACACATACACACACACACACACACACACACACACACACACACACACACACACACACACTCCTCTCTCTCACAAACTGTCCCTCACACACACCTCACACACTCCTCCTCACACTCCTCCTCACACTATCCTATCTTCACACACTCCTCCTCTCCTCTCACACTCTCCCTCAGTCTCCTCCTCACACACTCTCCTCTCTCCCTCTCTCCCCCCGGATGTCCCGGGCTGAGATGGGCTCTGCCCCCGGCCTCAGAGCACCAGTGTCCCGGTGTTCCTCCTCCTGGTAGTCCGTGATGTTATCCTCGATGGACGGGCAGAGCTTCCTCCTCGGAACCCCCCCCCTGGCGGCTCTGCACAGCATGGCTCATGAGATGAAGACCCCCCCCCTGTACCCGGCCTTCTCCTCCTCCGGCTCCTCTTCCACCTCTCCGAACCCCGGGGGAGTGGCCGGTTGCTCCCCGGGTCTGAAGGGCTGTTCTTCGGCTCTGTGTTCCTCCGCGACCCCCCACGGGATTAACGACATCCTGAGCCGGCCCTCCGCGCTGCTGCTGGCCGGAGGAAGCGCCTCCTGCCCGGGGGGGTTGCTGGGCTCCGCGCTGGCCCCCCGGTGCCACCCCCCAGGACTGTTCTTCAGCCCCCGGTACCCGAAGCCCCTCAGCGAGCTTCCCGCGGGCCGGACCCCCCTCTTCTGGCCCGGGGTCCTGCAGAGTCCCCCCCCCCACTGGAGGGACGCGCGCTTCTCCTGCTCCCCCCGTGAGTGGAACTCTTTATTTCACATTTCTGAGCAGAATGTTATTTAAAAACTGGGAGAAAAAAGGAGTTATTTTGTTAAATAAATGCAGTAATTAGAATGAAATCCTGAAGCTCCGCGCGGACACGAGTTTATATTTGAAATGTCTGGGATTTATTTTAAAACTTCAATTTCTGCGGAGAAAGTCATTTAGAAACTGGAAGAAAATAGTTATTTATTCCATTCATTAAATGAAATAAAACCTGTTGCCGCGAAACTGTTTCACATTTCTGAGGAAAGGAGATATTTAGTTAAATAAATGCAACGATTAGAATAAGACCCGTGAGTGGAAACGCGCTCTCACATTTCTGAGGAATTAAATTATTTAAAAACTTCACTTTCTGAGAAGAAAGGAGTGATTTTATTAAATAAATGCAATAATTAGAATAAGACCCCCACGGGGCTAGAACAGGTTTTATACATGTCTGAGCAGAAAAGCAGTTATTTTGTTAAATAACTTGAATGACTTTAGAGGGACACGGGTTTATTGAAATGAGATGATTTAGTTTCAATAAGAATGAATTTATTAACGTTTAGAAATATAAAAGCGTGTTTAAATGATGAGATGAACTGGTCACTCTTAAATACTCATTTACATCTAAAGTGAATCAGAAACAGGTTTTTATTAAAGCAATAATTATAATGAAATGTTGTGAAACAGTTCCTCCTGAAATCTGCACCTCACCGGAGACATGGGTCTCTCGAGCAGAGGTTACATTCTCTGGAGGACACAAGACTTTTTAACAACGAGAACAATAAGAATACAATGCAGTAAATATATAAAAGATAAAACCCGTTAAGATATAATAACTAATAACTAACAGGCTGTTGAAACGCTGTATTCATTTACCCATAATCCATCCTGTCCTTCCTCCTGCTCTTTCGCTATTGTTTAAATCACTGTCTCTTTCTTCATTGTTTTTTAAATTTCTGTTTCTATTTTTCCTAAATTGTAAATTCACGCTTTTTATTCCTCTTCCTTTTTGTCTCGAAAATGACTTTTGTTGCACCATTTCTCCTTCAGTCACTTTCAGCCTGCACTCCGGTTGGTCCCGTTATTTAGTCCTTCTGCCGTGAGACCCTCTGACCCTCTGTCCTCAGACCCTCAGACCCTCTGTCCTCAGACCCTCAGAGCCTCTGTGTCTGAGTCTCTCTCTCGGTCCGGGTCTCTCTGTCATATCTCCGTTATTCCAGGGAAACACTGCGCTCACAAAGAACTCTCAAAACGCGACCGTGATTTCAGATCAAAGATAATCTCATGTCTCGATGCTGTTTGTTTTCCTGTTATCAAATGTAATTATTATTATTATTGTTATTATTATTATTATTGTTATTATTGTTATTATTATTATTGTTATTATTTCTAATGACATGTCCCGGTGGACCAACGGAGCTTTCTCACGTGTTTGACCCGGTTCCGGTTCTCCTGAGAGAGAACATGTGTTTATTAGAGATCTACTTTCTTGATCTCAGTTTGAGACATGTTTGCTTGTAGCCTCAAAACAAGGCAATATGAAATCAATCGTGAATGTCCCGGGACTAATGAAGCTATCCCGGGACTAATAAAGCTATCCCGGGACTAATAAAGATATCCCGGGACTAATGAAGCTATCCCGGGACTAATAAAGCTATCCCGGGACTAATAAAGCTATCCCGGGACTAATGAAGCTATCCCGGGACTAATAAAGCTATCCCGGGACTAATAAAGATATCCCGGGACTAATAAAGCTATCCCGGGACTAATGAAGCTATCCCGGGACTAATAAAGCTATCCCGGGACTAATAAAGCTATCCCGGGACTAATGAAGCTATCCCGGGACTAATAAAGCTATCCCGGGACTAATAAAGATATCCCGGGACTAATAAAGCTATCCCGGGGACTAATGAAGCTATCCCGGGACTAATAAAGCTATCCCGGGACTAATGAAGCTATCCCGGGACTAATAAGCTATCCCGGGGACTAATAAAGATATCCCGGGACTAATAAAGATATCCCGGGACTAATAAAGCTATCCCGGGACTAATGAAGCTATCCCGGGACTAATAAAGCTATCCCGGGACTAATAAAGCTATCCCGGGACTAATAAAGCTATCCCGGGACTAATGAAGCTATCCCGGGACTAATGAAGCTATCCCGGGACTAATGAAGCTATCCCGGGACTAATAAAGCTATCCCGGGACTAATAAAGCTATCCCGGGACTAATAAAGCTATCCCGGGACTAATAAAGCTATCCCGGGACTAATGAAGCTATCCCGGGACTAATGAAGCTATCCCGGGACTAATGAAGCTATCCCGGGACTAATAAAGCTATCCCGGGACTAATAAAGATATCCCGGGACTAATAAAGCTATCCCGGGACTAATGAAGCTATCCCGGGACTAATAAAGCTATCCCGGGACTAATGAAGCTATCCCGGGACTAATAAAGCTATCCCGGGACTAATAAAGATATCCCGGGACTAATAAAGCTATCCCGGGACTAACTAATAAGCTATCCCGGGACTAATGAAGCTAATCCCGGGACTATGAAAGCTATCCCGGGACTAATAAAGCTATCCCGGGACTAATAAAGCTAAGTCCCGGACTAATGAAGCTATCCCGGGACTAATAAAGCTATCCCGGGACTAATAAAGATATCCCGGGACTAATAAAGCTATCCCGGGACTAATGAAGCTATCCCGGGACTAATAAAGATATCCCGGGACTAATAAAGCTATCCCGGGACTAATGAAGCTCCTAATGAGAGAAGTTAAGACACAAATAAACATTCGAAAATATTTGTTTTTTAATTGTTTTTCGTTGTTGTTCCAATAATGAGCAGAAGGTACAAAGACATGTAGACAATATTATACATCATACAAAACGTACTTGCACACATACAATAATACACATTAGAGGCGCCACAGTGCGGGGGGAGGGGGGTCTCACTCTCAGGGTCCCGATGGACCTTCAGAGGCCTGGCTCTATTCTTCCGTTTACACATGAACCAGTTGCTCTGCCTCCAGCTGGGTGTGAACATGGTTTATTCCCTTTCAATATCTTTTTATTTCCAGGTGAGACAATTAGGGACGACAACAACAACAACAACAACACGTGACAAAACAGACAAAACAAGAACAACAAACAACGACAGACAAACAGCAGCACGTGTCATGTTTACGCCCACAGTTAGAACCCTTAACGATTGTTCCTTCGCGCGCGCGCGGTGCAACACGCACTCAGCTCCTCGCTGTCTGCAATAATAATAACTGGCATGTCTGAGCCTTTCAGGCCCGCGTCGCTTTGCAGAAAGACAGGAGTATATCAAACAAAAAACAGTCAGTCAGACAAATAAATGCGTTCCTCTCCCTCTGAGAACATGTGTGTATTAACCCATGCCCCCCCCCCCCCCCCCCTAGACCACGGCTCGGTGCTGCTGGACCGGGACGGGAAGAGGAAGCACACCCGGCCCACCTTCTCCGGGCAGCAGATCTTCGCTCTGGAGAAAACCTTCGAGCAGACCAAGTACCTCGCGGGGCCGGAGCGCGCGAGGCTGGCCTATTCTCTGGGAATGACGGAGAGCCAGGTCAAGGTACACACACGCCCGCGCACACACGCACACACACACACACACACACACACACACACACACACACACACACACACACACACACACACACACACACACACACACACACACACACACACACACACACACACACACACACACACACTTATCCTAAAAACACACTTCACTTTCAAAAGATCGAAAGAGAAGAAAACCGGAAATGATAATAATGACTTTTCGTTGAAACGCATTAAATCGAATGAAAACTCAAAATAACATTAATTACCTCCACATTTAGGAACATGCTAATTCATCCATTTGAATTTAAACACACCTTTTAAAAACACATTTCCCGCCATGCCTTTAGAAAGTCACAGCATCAGGAGATGACAGATATTTAAACCCATTCCTAAAAACACGCTTTCCTCAACATGACACGTGTTCCCTGCGCGAGGACAGGGAGAGGCTGCTCCTCAGACTCTGCGTTAAAACATGATCCTTATCAGTTAAACGCGTTTTCTCTCATTTCATTTCAACTCTATTTATTTGCAGAAAATGAAAAACGAGCTTTTAATTATTTAGTTTGAACCCTCAGGCATCACGTGACCCTGAGGCCTCTGGGACATCCCATAGTGCACGTGTCGTGCAACACGTGCAGCGCGTCATTCTGCATCGAGTCCGCTTCATAAATGAAGTTTGATTCATATTGAAGTTTAAATATATTGATTTGAATTCAGTTTAAATTCTGCTCGTTGTTTCTGCAGAGCTACAAATACAAGATGCAGAGTTAGTGGCTCCGGACATACACGGGAGAGAAGTGTGTGTGTGTGTGTGTGTGTGTGTGTGTGTGTGTGTGTGTTAATGAGAGGCGGCATATCACATCCCGCGTTGTTCTTCATGCAGAGTTAGATGATACGCTGCTTCTGTCTGCAGGGTGAGGGTCTGCAGGGTGAGGGTCTGCAGGGTGAGGGTCTGCAGGGTGAGGGTCTACAGGGTGAGGGTCTGCAGGGTGAGGGTCTACAGGGTGAGGGTCTGCATAGGAACAGACTGAGGAGATACATCCGAGGTGACCGGACTTCTGGAAGTGTGTGTGTTTGTGTGTGTGTGTGTGTGTGTGTGTGTGTGTGTGTGTGTGTGTGTGTGTGTGCAGGGACGTGCCCAGACATTTGGAGGGGATATTGCTCTAAATTGGAAAAAGCCGCCCCCCGATAAAAAACAGACCTTTTGAAAATTGTAACTTGTTTTTAATGTAAAAGAAACCAAACGATTTTTACATCAACTAAATTGACAGTAATTCCATTTCATAACAAAATAAGCTGAGGCGACTGCTTGCATTCTGGGACTTGATTTAAAAATGAAAACCAGGGCCATCTTTTGTTTTGTGGTCCAAAGCTCATTAACATATCTATTGTTAGTAATTATTAAAGACATCATGGGGACAATTCTGTTCTAATGTAGTTTGACCTTTGCTGTGAAGACATACTGATAAAATGGGCCTCTAACTAATTACCTTAAATCAAGTCACTAATGAATGAAACCCGTTCAAGACGCATTATTCTTATTCGTATCATCCTTTATGAGCGCAGTGACGGTAAGGTCTCTAATTACTTATTTATTTAGTATTCCATAACTTAGTAACAGAGATGGTCAAACTGAAGTAGAGACATGGCAGAAATCCTACGATGAAGCGGGACATTGAACTGTTCACCGTGAGAGGGCGATCAAGAGAGCGAGCGGCGCGTTGAGCGAGTTCACAGGTGAAGACTCAGAAAGACAGAAGCACCAACAAGTAGCTATGTTCAGGTGTTTTCTGTAAATAACCGCCGGCATCAAGAGGAAGTCAAGCCCCCTGGTTTGTCCCTTATACCCTGACTGCCATGAGAACACTCAAAATCAAGTTTCCAAAATCCGACACTGAGGTGGTCTTAACGCAGCGCAGAGGACAGCGCTGACAAAGTGTGCTTCCCGCAGCGAGACGCTACGATACTGAGTGAGGGCTCATCGTGTGGATTCAGCCACAACAGAACAAAGAAGAGCAAACTCTCGCTCTCCAGAGGGGCAGGTCAGCCAAGAGGCCAAACGGGCCGTTGCCAGGGCAACAGTAGCCCGTACCTGTGTGTGTGTGTGTGTGTGTGTGTGTGTGTGTGTGTGTGTGTAGATAGTGTTTAACATACACTTCCTCCTCAGAGTAGATGGTTTCCGCAGCAGATCTAAAAGAGAGAGAGAGGACGGGGAGATCTGCATGAGGGGGTCTTTTCTTTATTTGGTGGTTCTCCAGGGAGTTGATGCAGGAGCTCTGACCCGGGTCCCGGAGCTCCGACCCGGGTCTCGGAGCTCCGACCCGGGTCCCGGAGCTCCGACCCGGGTCCCGGAGCTCCGACCCGGGTCCCGGAGCTCTGAGGCTTTATTTCACTGATCCTGCAAACTGAGTTCAATCCTGAAGAAAATGGATTTATAAAATATATGAAAATGTTCGGAGTGATTTGAGTTTAATTCTGAGCCCTCAGAGCGGCTTTCTGTGAGACCCTGATCATGACTCTGCGTTGAGGGTCTGCATCCTGAGGCTCAGCCTGGAGAGCACTCAGGAGGACATGAAACCTTTCGCCTTTGTGTTTGAGTGAATCCGGTAGATGTTGCATTTCTATAAAGAGTGGAAGCAGACCGCGGAGCTTTCTGCGTTAACCCGTGAAGCACGGCCTCTGTCTCCGGTTGCTCTGCAGGAGGAGACGGGCCCTGCTGGGTTATCACATGCACTCAGGAGGAGACACTTTCTTTAGTCAAGCTATGTCCTGCACAGTGCCCGGACTTCTGCACACATTGATGAATGAACCTTCACGTCTCAGCAGATTCACGGCTTTAGTTCCGTCGCGTTTCTTGAAGTGACGGAAGGGTTTCTTGATTTGTGTAAATCCTCGTTTTCCCAGGGAGTTTAAAACGTGCAGGAAGTCTCAGCATCAGGTGTGTGTGTGTGTGTGTGTGTGTGTGTGTGCGTGTGTGTGTGTGTGTGTGTGTGTGTGTGTGTGTTAATGAGCAGGGACGTGCACAGGTACGGGCTAATGTTGCCCGCGCAACAGCCCGTTTGCCCTTTGTGTCTGACCTGCCCCTCTGGGGCCGAATCAACATGATAAGCCCATCATTAGCGCCTCGCCGCGGGAAGCACACCTCGTCAGCGCTGTCATCTGTCCCCAGTCACGTGACTTTGTTTACAATCTGACAGCTGGAAGCAAAGGAAAGCCCTCCGGCCTCACATGGCTCCGGTTGGCTTTGGAGGCCAATCCCCGGGTCAGTCTGTCCCCGGAAATGTCCCGCGTTTTTAAATATGCTTATATTGATTTTGAGTTGTCTCAATGCAGTTAGAGCAGGGGACCAACCAGGGGACTTATCTTCCTCTTGACACCGTCGGTTATTTATATACTTGTTGTTATTGTGCTTCTGTCTTTCTGTGTCTTTCCATCCTTAACTCCCTCACTCTCTCTCTCTTCTCTTGATCGCCCTCTTCCCGCTTCATGTCTCTACTTCAGTTTGACCATCTCTGTTATGAAGTGATGGAATACTAAATAAGTAATTAGATACGTCACCGTCACTGCGCTCATAAGGACGATAAGAATAAGAATATTGAACTGGTTTCATTCATTAGTTATTTTAGGTAATTAGTTAAAGCCCGACTTCATCAGTGTGTCTGCACGGCAGGGACAAAGGACACACTCAAACAGGACTGTCCCCGTTGTTTCTTTAGTTTCTAACACTAGATACTTTCATGAGGTTTGGACGCGAAACTCAAATGAGCCTGAATAACGAATTTAGCAGTTTGACATAAAAGTAAACAGAGAGTTGCAATGGCCGTGTTGTGTTTTTATTTTATTACATTTTTACATAAAAAACAAGTTAGAATGAGTGTGTGTTAATGTGTGTGTGTTAATGTGTGTGTGTTAATGTGTGTGTGTTAATGTGTGTGTGTGTTAATGAGTGTGTGTTTAATGTGTGTGTGTTAATGTGTGTGTGTTTAATGAGTGTGTGTTTAATGAGTGTGTGTGTTAATGAGTGTGTGTTAATGAGTGTGTGTTAATGAGCGTGTGTTTAATGAGTGTGTGTTAATGAGTGTGTGTTACTGAGTGTGTGTTAATGTGTGTGAGTGTGTGTTAATGAGCGTGTGTGAGTGTGTGTTAATGTGTGTGAGTGTGTGTTAATGTGTGTGAGTGTGTGTTAATGTGTGTGAGTGTGTGTTAATGAGTGTGTGTGTGTTAATGAGTGTGTGTTAATGTGTGTGTTATTATCTGTTCTCAGGTCTGGTTCCAGAACCGGAGGACCAAGTGGAGGAAGAAGCACGCGGCGGAGATGGCGACAGCGAAGAAGAAACAGGACTCAGAGACAGAGAGGCTGAAAGGCTCTGATGAAGAGGAGGAGGAGGATGAAGACTACAACAAACCTCTGGACCCCAACTCTGACGACGAGAAGCTGCACGTGCTGCTCAAGAAGCACAAGCCCGTGCACGCGCTGCACGCCTCGGACAATGACAGCTCCTAATCTGCACATCAACAAAAATACACTTATTTTATTTCTGTTATTTCTTTTATCGTTTTATTGGTTTAATCTTTTTTATTTTATTTTTTCATTGTATTTTATTTGTATTTCTTTTATTCCTTTACTTCCTGTTTCTGGAGATGAACTCGAACTCTCGGAGTCGCACTTTTTCAGACTATAAGGATTTCTTTTTTGCAAATTGATGGATGAAGGACGTACGGTTCCGGCTCGTAGACTTCCGGATCCGGTTTGACGGTTTTCCGGTTCCGGTTCTTTGGACTCTTGTAAAAAAATACCCAGAACCCCCCGCTGTGATTCTCCGTGTTTTTGTACAGACCAGCTTTCCTTTCCTTTTGTATTCACTGCAGAGACTATAAACTCCAGTGGTCCCTGAACGCACCACCTGTACATACCGCCCCCCACATTATTTATATGTGTGTGAAGCCTGTGTGTCACGGCGGGTTCAAATGTAATGCACTTTTATTTAATAAAATCTCAAATGCTTCCTGTTGTCCCCCCCCCCCCCCCCCCCCCTTAATGAGCTCACCTGGTTAATTAATTAACTCATTCATTAATGACGTCATTAGTCAGTCATTAATGAGTTAATTTAACGGTCCATTTATCATCGGCTGCTTTCAGATATCACTTCATTATTATCATCATTATGGGACTTCCTGCTGGGATCGATTTTGATTCTTTGGTGTTATTACATTTTGAAATCTTAAATTCAAACTTTAAGATATTTCTGATATTTTTTTAACAGATCAAATTATTTTATTTACTTTTAAAAAAATAAATAAAACCGAAACGTTTAATAATTAAATAACACTTACAGGTGGGGTGGGTAATTCACTTCAGAAACACATATTACATATATATTCCATGGAATGATCTGAACGTCCCGAAAGCAATGAATATCTGAAGTGCTTTGAAGCCGTGGCGCTGTAGAAAGCTCGACCAATCATCTGAGCCGGCTGAAGTAACTGGATGGCCTACCTGCCTGTCAGCCTGCCATCGGGGCACAAACTCATCTCTGCCCTCATTGGTCACGTGCGCGTTCGTGTGTGTTGGAGGAGGGGCTCTGTGAGGAAGGGGTAGATTGTTTCCGGTTACGTACTTTCAGATTCTAGCCACTCGAGCTGTTTCTCGTTCCTACCTTTAAGAGAGAGATGAATAAGAAATACAACGTGCTGCGTCGCAGCAGCTGATCATCCAATCAATGCTCAGTCTGTGAATAACACACATTTCATAAAGAAAACATTAAAATACACTTCTGGAGGTTTGAGTAAAAGTATAATCATGAACATATAATTAAAGACAGTAAAAGTAGTGATTGGTCCATTTCAGAATAATATGATCTGTTTGATAAAGATGAAAGATCAGGACATATCAAACATTATGATATCACTGAACTGACGAATGTATAAAAGATATGATTATTAAAGTAACATTTGACTCTTCATGGATGAACCTCTGATCTACAGGAGGAAGAAGGAAAGAATGTAAACAACATTATGAATACAAATAAATTAAAAAAGAGAAAATATTATTATCTAAAAGAAATGTAAACATAAAAAAAGACATAAATACAATGAATAGTTTGAGTAAATATGTGGCGTCTTAGCGCGGAAACAAGCTAATGCTAATTCTTCCGTCTTAATTGAAACACAGCTCGTGCATTTCATCGTCCTGAGGATCAGAGGAAACACATCGTTATAACAAACACTCTCTTAACAAACACATTACATCTAATGCACTCAATATAATAATTTATTATGAATCAAAAAAGGATAAAATACTATTATTTATAAGCAAAGTGAACGTGAAAAATAAATATACTGCAAATAAATAAATACAAAGAATAGCTTGAGTTCACGCGGGATGTGAATTAAAGCAGTGAGTTATTTCTGCTGTTAGCTGCACATTAAGTAAGTGTGTGTGTGTGTGTGTGTGTGTGTGTGTGTGTCGTCCATCAGAGAGGCGACACACCTCTCTGTGTTCCAGGTGTAAACAACATGTAACACCTGTAGCTGAACACCTGTAGATCATCACCTGTAGCTGAGACTGATGGGCTCCTTTATAAAGAGCCTATTGAGGCATCCATGTTCTACAACAGATTACATACAGGGACATGTGTTGACGGGGGGGGGGGGGGGGGGGGGGTCTTATCTCCCTGAAACAGCCTGCAAGCTGGAGATAAGGAGGAAGGAGAGGGTCCTCCATTATGAGGAGGAAGAGAAGGAGGAGGAGGAGGAGTAGGAGGGGGATCCCTGAGCATGGCCTCCATTAACCTGCAGAATGACTTCAGAGATTCAAAAAATAAATACATCTCCTTGTTCATCAGATAATCTCCATGTTATCAACACCACTAAAGAAACTACCGTTAGGCTGTAAAGGGACTACAGCACGGTCACATGACTTCACGTCACCACCGCTAAGCTAAAGGAGGCTAATGTTGGGCTATAAAGGAACTACAGCACGGTCACATGACTTCACGTCACCACCGCTAAGCTAAAGGCGGCTAATGTTGGGCTATAAAGGAACTACAGCACGGTCACATGACTTCACGTCACCACCGCTAAGCTAAAGGTGGCTAATGTTGGGCTATACAGGAACTACAGCACGATCACATGACTTCACGTCACCACCGCTAAGCTAAAGGAGGCTAATGTTGGGCTATAAAGGAACTACAGCACGGTCACATGACTTCACGTCACCACCGCTAAGCTAAAGGAGGCTAATGTTGGGCTATAAAGGAACTACAGCACGGTCACTTGATTTCACGTCACCACCGCTAAGCTAAAGGTGGCTAATGTTGGGCTATAAAGGAACTACAGCACGGTCACATGACTTCACGTCACCACCGCTAAGCTAAAGGAGGCTAATGTTGGGCTATAAAGGAACTACAGCACGGTCACATGATTTCACGTCACCACCGCTAAGCTAAAGGTGGCTAATGTTGGGCTATAAAGGTACTACAGCACGGTCACATGACTTCACGTCACTACCGCTAAGCTAAAGGAGGCTAATGTTTGGGCTATAAAGGAACTACAGCACGGTCACATGACTTCACGTCACCACCGCTAAGCTAAAGGTGGCTAATGTTGGGCTATAAAGGAACTACAGCACGGTCACATGACTTCACGTCACCACCGCTAAGCTAAAGGTGGCTAATGTTGGGCTATAAAGGAACTACAGCACGGTCACATGACTTCACTTCACCACCGCTAAGCTAAAGGTGGCTAATGTTGGGCTATAAAGGAACTACAGCACGGTCACATGACTTCACGTCACCACCGCTAAGCTAAAGGAGGCTAATGTTGGGCTATAAAGGAACTACAGCACGGTCACATGACTTCACGTCACCACCGCTAAGCTAAAGGAGGCTAATGTTGGGCTATAAAGGAACTACAGCACGGTCACATGACTTCACGTCACCACCGCTAAGCTAAAGGTGGCTAATGTTGGGCTATAAAGGAACTACAGCACGGTCACATGACTTCACGTCACCACCGCTAAGCTAAAGGAGGCTAATGTTGGGCTATAAAGGAACTAGAGCACGGTCATATGACTTCACGTCACCACCGCTAAGCTAAAGGCGGCTAATGTTGGGCTATAAAGGAACTACAGCACGGTCACATGACTTCACGTCACCACCGCTAAGCTAAAGGTGGCTAATGTTGGGCTATAAAGGAACTACAGCACGGTCACATATGACTTCACGTCACCACCGCTAAGCTAAAGGAGGCTAATGTTGGGCTATAAAGGAACTACAGCACGGTAACATGACTTCACGTCACCACCGCTAAGCTAAAGGAGGCTAATGTTGGGCTATAAAGGAACTACAGCACGGTCACATGACTTCACGTCACCACCGCTAAGCTAAAGGTGGCTAATGTTGGGCTATAAAGGAACTACAGCACGGTCACATGACTTCACGTCACCACCGCTAAGCTAAAGGAGGCTAATGTTGGGCTATAAAGGAACTACAGCACGGTCACATGACTTCACGTCACCACCGCTAAGCTAAAGGCGGCTAATGTTGGGCTATAAAGGAACTACAGCACGGTCACATGACTTCACGTCACCACCGCTAAGCTAAATGTGGCTAATGTTGGGCTATAAAGGAAAGTACAGCACGGTCACATGACTTCACGTCACCACCGCTAAACTAAAGGAGGCTAATGTTGGGCTATAAAGGAACTACAGCACGGTCACATGACTTCACGTCACCACCGCTAAGCTAAAGGTGGCTAATGTTGGGCTATAAAGGAACTACAGCACGGTCACATGACTTCACGTCACCACCGCTAAACTAAAGGAGGCTAATGTTGGGCTATAAAGGAACTACAGCACGGTCACATGACTTCACGTCACCACCGCTAAGCTAAAGGCGGCTAATGTTGGGCTATAAAGGAACTACAGCACGGTCACATGACTTCACGTCACCACCGC